ATAAATTATAAACAAAATAATGATAAATATTTTCCAATAAATTAATTTCAGCCAGAAAATTTATGTAAGTAATGAAAACAAAATAGTTTGGAAGAACTGCTCACTTTCATGTCTCCTTCTATATCAGAAAAATAATAGTTTGAACTCTCCCTAAACTTAAGGCATTAATTAATGCTATTAATTTTGGTGGACTGGCATGGAGACAGTGCTATATCTCACCATAAACTTGGCATGCATGAACCTTACCAGGTGTGGGTCCCCCAAAGTTACTCATAGATAATCTGTTTGTAGATTCCCTGTCCACTTGATAGGATTTTAACAGCAAGTTATTCATTCAATATATCTTTATTATGTTATGCCAGATTCTTGTCAATATTTTCATTTCATGTTCTCCAGTATTTTTCTCTTTGGAAGTGCCTCCAGTCAGCTTCTGTACAGTATGTTTTGGTGTCTTTATTCCTCGGCACCTAAGATCAGTAGCAGGAGTCAATGAGATTGGCGTACTGAACTTGGCATCCTTCGAAAATAAAGTATCACGTACCCATCCTCATGATTCACCTCCAAATTCTACCTATTGAAAAAAAGAAAACACCTATTGAAAAACCTATCGAAAAAGCTATTGAAAAAGTATTTAAAAAAAACATTAAAAAAACCCTCCAAATTCTATTTGAAAAAGAAAACTGGGATGTATACTTCACAGATCTGAGTGGTGGCCATTCAGTAGTATTATTGGTTAATCCTGAAATTTAGTTATACCTCAACTGTTGCTTCTATGTATGCCTTAAAATGTTTGAGTATATTTTTATCTGCTACAATATTTGTTGATTTATTAATGTTCTACCGCTAAGTTTCTTTTTTAAAATACCTGTTTCCCCACTAAACTATGAGCTCTTTGAGTGCAAGGATCTGCTCTGATTCATTTCTAAGGTATATAGACTAATCCATACATGTCTTTATATTTAATGAATGAGTAGGTAAGTGAACAAAGAAGTTAAGAAACAGGAACTTTGATAATATCAAATTTTAAATAATGAATATATTACATCATTCATTTAAGAAGATAGGAGAAAATTCATTAAAGAAGATGAGGTATAAAATGCATTTTCACTTAAAGAAAATATATTTAGATAAGAAGAGAAAACCAGGTGCCTGTAATTTTAAAGAGTGGCTTTATGGTGGCTTTGAATGCAACAGCCATCAGACAAAAGAAAAAAGCTTATAAGAGAACCTAAGGAAAATCCAAGAAATCTTTGTTAAGGGATAACTTTCAAAATTTATGCTAGATCCTACACTCCACTAGGAATGGATCCTAGTCTCCATTCTTGAGGCAAGTTGAATTGGGTTTTCAAGAACTAACTGATCTGAAAAAATTCTTCAGAATCTCAGATCAAGTTCTGATAACATTGTCCAGATTTTTTTTAAAAATTAACTCAACCAAGTAACTACTCATAAAGGCATCATTGTAGTCAGATTGAATTCTTTAAGGCTTATTCTTTTATTCATCATTGTTTCTCATAATAGCATAATGGAGGGAAGGAGTTAGAGATGACATTTTACCTAAGCTGAACATTTTTTAAAATGATATATTGGAGTTTGAATTGGCACCTTCTGGTCTTTTGAAACCCTAAACATAAAGAGGCCTGTGTAGATTATAAAGAATATTTAAGGGAAGTAAACTAAGAAACTATATTGCAACCTGCTTAAACTCCTTGTGAGTTCCTGGTTTGAGTGAGGATTTCATTAGATTTACTGGCAGTGGATTAGAGACTCATATCATCAAAGTGCTGATAAGTAAAGAGAAATTATACCCATATACTGAAATAACTTTTTCTCTAAAACAAACCCTATTTTTAATTCCCAACCCAAATCAGCTTATCTAGCAAAGGCAGAAAAGTCTAAGTCCTGTTGTCCTAAAATACAGGTACTAGCTAATGTCAGAGAGCGAATAGTACCACAGTGATGATGCAGCTGGTGTTGTTCTAAAAATAAAAATCAATTTGAAAATACTATTTAATTAAGAGACCCATCATATAAAAGAGAGAAACTGCAAAGAAAAAAACGATCTCTCAAAGCATAACACCTATTGAACTGCAAGCAAACATAGAGACTTACATACCAACATTTTAGAAGCTCTCCATTTCATAAAAAATCCCTTGTCAGTCCCTTTGTACTCACAAAGCGCGTGGACTAGAATAGTCTCTCTCTTCATCAGTTCATAATATTAATAGTTTTAATGTTTTTATTTCTTCCCTGGTGTGGAAGAAATATCTGATACATTCTGATACATTTGTTCTGATACAAATGTTCTGATACATTTTCCTATTTGATCATTGCAATTATCTCATGGAGAAAACAAAACTATGCCTTTTTAGAAATGAAACTCTGAAAGCTTGAGTGACTTCCAAAGGTCATGCATCTAGCACAGACTTTGAATTCAACTATATATATATTTGCTTCAACATCTCGTGGCTTCTTGGGGCAATTCCAGGAGGTACAATATACCCTGCAGAACTCTCTGCTGCTTAAATAGTGGGAATGTTTCTCAAGGTATCGGATTTACCAAGGCTTCCCGGGCAATAGGCATTTTTCTGCAGAAAACCCAGGAACTCTGGAGCTAGAATTCACAACCCAAAGCTATATTTGAACTGGTTCAATTGAGGATTGGGGAATAGCAGTCAGTCAGTACTCTCTTCAAATACAATAAATGCTCCTAATGTTTATATTTGTGAATTTATTTCCAAGATTGGGGGACTTCCAGTTAATTAGCCTCATGTATCCTGGGGACTTAGGCTGAAAATGCAGTATTCATGTAGGTGCTTTCTATCTAAATAGAGCTACTCAATGCATGCTAAATAATTCATTCCCCTATGAGACCAGACATGCTTGGTTTGGTCTCATCTAGATCCCATCTTTTAGAGACATAATACACTTCTGAATTTTTCGTCTTAAAGAAAACAATGCAAAAAAAAAACCCAAGTGCTAGCTTTCTCTTGTTGCTACGAAGACTGGTTATCTAAACTGCCATCCAAGATGCTCCCATCAAAATTACAAGATTTATCATTTCACTAACACAAATCCCAACCTTCTTGTTTTCTGAAAAAAATCATTTTAGCAGAGGCAGGGGGAGGGGCGAACGTAGTGGGTTTCCAACATAACACGTTCTTGTCTTATTGGCAATGGGTTCTGGAGGAGGGGAAAGCTTCCAGGTGGCCGGAAGCGGGTCTGGTAGCAGCTTTGGTCAGTGTCACGTCACGTCGAGCAGAAGCGGAGCCGTTGCCAGAAGTCTTTTCAGCACAACACTGCAGAGTTCTACCTGGTCCTGCTTCCCCACCGCAGAAACCCGCCAACAGCTCGGGCTCCCTCGGCCTGAGGACAGCCAGTGACGTATTGCAAGGGACAGCCGCAGGTTTAAAAAGCCTGAGCTGAGTTGAGAGCAACCGACAGCATCTGTGCGGTGTGCGGTGTGCGGTGTGGTGTGTGTGTGTGTGTGTGTGTGTGTGTGTGTGTGTGTGTGTGTGTGTGTTGGGGCTGGGGAGGAGGAGGGTAGTGGGGGGGGGGGGGTCTGGTGAGCATCTCAAACTCTGAAATGTAAGGGGTTGGGCGGGCCACGTGACTCCAGGGAGGCGGAGTCTAGCGTGCTGGAGAAAGACTGGCAGACCTCTGGGAGGAGTGCAGGGGGCGGCTGGGGGGAGTCATCTGAATAATTGAGGAGCTGTTGGGCAGCTGCCGCCGCTCCTCAGCCGTCGCCAGCCCGCATCCGAGCTGGAGAGACCGAAGCCGGCGCTGGCAGTGCGGACGGAGCCCGGGCAGCCCCGGCAGCCGGCTCCTCGCTCCCACCTCCCGGTGAGTGCAGTTCCGCCCGCGCCGCAGCCCTGAGCCCCGCGCCTCTCGCCTCCCGCCGGTCCCCCAGAGAGCGGGGTGACCGCCTCGGGTTGGAGGGACCTGGGAGCCGGGCTGCCGGGAGGAGGGGGCCTCGGGACGTGGCGCAGCAGCTGCGGGGGCGCTCGGGAGAGGGTCCCCCGGGGGGAAAGAGGAGCTAGGTCAGGACGACTCCAGCCCAGACTCGTTGCAGGGCCCGGAGGGGGTCAGGGGGCGGGGAAGGGGGGACCCCGCTTCACTGCAAGGAGGGGCTGGGGGAAACGCGGCCCCCCGGCGCGGTCACATCAAGCAAGAGGAGGAGGAGCCGCGGTCCGTGCCCGAGCTCCGGGTGTCCACAGTCCGGGGCCGACCCTTTCCTCTCTGGCCCCGGCTCCTGCGCAGCTCGGACTGAGCCCGAGGGAAGGAAGAGACGCTCGGCCGGCCGCAGCCCAAGGAGGGAGGGAGGGAGAGAGAGGGAGGGCGGGGACTGTGTCTGCCCGTTTACCTGGGAGCAAACTCTTCAAAGGGTCTCCAGCTGCGCCCGGTGCCCGGAGCAGGCCGGGGAGCGCTGGTGAGAGAACTGTGACAAGCCGGAGGGACAGCGAGAGGGGAGAAGTGGCTCGGGATGCTCCTTGGCCCCGGGGGGGACAGCCCCCGAGAAGGAAAAGCATCTCCCCGGACAAACGCACGCAGTTCGAGGCGCGTCCTTCCCCATCCATCCCTGAGCGCGTCGGTTTCCTCTGGCTCCCGAGGGCCGGGAAGCGGGGGACCGCGCAGGACAGGATGCTGCCCTGACGCTCCTGCCCCTCCTGCGCTGCGAATTTGATATTGAGGGCGAAGAGTCCGTTAGAAGCCGCCCGATGACCACCAGTGGAGGGTGGACAGGGAAAGGCGGGGAGAAGGCCTGAACGGCTACTCTGGCCAGTTCCTGCCACTCCGAGCCCCACTACCTGTGCGAAGCCGGGTTCGAGGTTTTGAATCGAGAGGCGCCTCCGGTGCAGGGCAAGGGGGTTCTGGCTTAAAGCGGCGTAGCGGGTTCTTTCTTGGTCGGAGTTGTCCAAGGACCACACGGTAAACCGGCCTCCTCGAGGGTCTAGGAGAACCCCAAGGGCAGGATCCCAGGGGCTGGGCCTGAGTGCAAACCCTAGGCGTGGCGTGGCGCTGTCCTCGGTGCTGAAAGTTGCGGCGAGCTATTCCTCGGGAACTGAAACTGCGTAAGAAGCAGCGGAAGGAAGACCCTTGAACGAGGATTTAGACAGGTGCCTCGGTTTCCCCTACCCCCATACCCGGACTCCTCCGTTAGAAAGATTCCGCGCATTCGTGGGTAGAGCAGAAAGGAGTGGTGTCACCCCAGCTTTAATAATTTCGGGTGGTGCTGCGTGGATCCGACCGTTTATAAAGTGTTGGGAGAGTGGAGATGCTGCTATGATAAACACTTATGTCGCTTTCAGGAACCAGAGAATTGTGCTTCTACACAAAGGAGGAGGGTGATTCATTAATGTAGAGACTGGCCTTTCTCTTCCTGGCTACTCCTCTCTCTCTCTCTCTCTCTCTCTCTCTCTCTCTCTCTCTCTCTCTCTCTCTCTCGTTGTTTACATCTTCTAGAAAGAGATCTCTAAGCAGCGCTGTTTGTTTATTTGATTGGCCTTTTATACCTTTTATATTATGAATAAGATGAGGAGAGAGCTAAGCCAATATTATGACACCAAGTTAAAAAAATATTTATTGCACACCTAAATCTGCATTCATTTAAATTTCACATGGCTGCTGGCTGTGAGAATTGCAGAGACGAGAGAACTAATGTTAGGTATATAGAATCCAGAGCTTTGATCAAAGTTCGGGTTTTACCTAACCTCCAAGCCCAAGCAAATTCTACGGAAATGAATTCTAAGACATTCTATCTTGGGGAGCTCTGATTGTGGGTTATAGCAAGAGAAAGTCACAGGAGGAGGCCTGTTTTCTTTCTCACCTACTGCTCTCTCTTCCAGCCCTCTTCCCTTTCCTCTGTTCACCCACCCACTGACACTCTCTCCCTCCGCAGGAACTGTTTTTGTGCATGCTGCTTGAGATACCACTATTCAGACAATTTCTTTAGCTAACAGCTTTTAAGTCAATGGACAATGATTATCCTGTAATGAAATGAAAGTAAAGATAACTAAAAAAAAGTATACTAAATGTTTCTTATTAAGGCTAAGGACTACTTTTACTGATTGCTAATTATAATGAGGTTCTATCATCCCACAAATCAGTGAAAACAAAGGTAACTCTCTCATGCATTTACTAATCCAAAGCAAAAGCAAAATACTATTATTTTACTGATTCCTTCTGGTTTTCATTAAAGATCCTGACCTTAAAAATCAAGTCTGTGAAGTAAAATCTGCTGGAGTTCTGATTAGAACCGTAAACATTTACCAACCATTTACTCGCATACTTTGCACCTATTGCCAGTGTAATTCCTGATCTATGCTAGAACTCCTGAAGCCGAGGCATTTTCATATATCCCTGATTTAGTCAGGAGATAATATAAGTCAGCCATTTTTAGTGGCTCACCATTTTGATAACTAAATATTTTTTCTCCTTTAACTCAAGACTAATAAAATGCTTAGAATAAAAGCTTGCAATGAAACTATGCCAAATGATTCTTTTTTAATTAAATTGATTTTTATTGAATCACCATAAGATACAGTTACAGAGCTTTCATGATTGGGTTTCAGTCGTACAGTGTTCCAACACCCATCCCTCCACCAGTGTACATTAGCCACCACCAATATACCCCGTATCCCTCCTGCCACGACCCCCTCTCCAGCCTGACTCTATGGCAGGCACTTTTCTTCTCTCTCTCTTTCTCTCTCTCTCTTAAAACTTTCAACCCATTTATTGAGAGTCATTGTTTAAGTGTCTCATAAAACTTGCTTACCTCTTGGAAAGGCCTGAATTTTGGAGAGAGAAAATATTTTCCTTGAACTGAAAAGAGTTTGATTTTCACTATCATTATCTTAAAGAGTTTACTGATTTTATATCCCAGGAAAGGAAGGCACCTGACAACGTAACTTGAAACTCACGCTTATAATATAAAATTAATCACTTAATAAAGTAATTGACAAATATCATATTATAACAGAAATTCTATGGTAGTAGGTGCTGGAATCCTATAGCCTAACATATGGATGCTTAATAAATACTAGTTTAATTTAGGTCATGTTTTCCAGGTCAGTGTATAATCATACAATCAACAATCAAGAAATTAATATTTCTGGCACTTTTATCAAATAAAATAGGAGACAAAGAACAACAAATCTCATCTGACAGTCACATTTCTAAACCTATTGAGGGCATAGGTAGTGATGTCAAAACAGATTTCTCCTGAAAACAGTACCTTGATACCTTCCTGCAGGGAACAAGGAACAAACAGGAATAAACCAGCACAAAGGGCCTTGTATCTCTTTGCAAGGAGACAACATCATAAACTCGATGCTTAAGTGTTGTTGTATGTTACTTTCAACTTTATTTTTTTTTAATTTTTATTAGTGAAACACTATGAGGTACAGTTGTAGACTTACAAATTTTTGTGCTTGGGTTTCAATTATACAATGATCAAATACCCATCCCTCTACCAGTGCCCATTTTCCACCACCACAGGTCCCAGTATCCCTCCCATCCCCCATGTCCCCCATCCCACCCTGCCTCTGTGGCAGGGCATTCCCTTTTGTTCTCTCTCTCCTTTTTGGTGTTGTGGTTTGCAAAAGAGATATTGAGTGGCAATCATGTTTAGTCTCTAGTCTACTTTCAGCATGCTTCTCCCATCCTGGGAGGATCCCCCCAACACCCTTTATTTGGTGCTCCTTCTCTATCTGAGCTCCCTTTTCCCCTAGCATGTGTGGCTGGCCTCCAAGCCATGGAGCAAAATTCCTGGCACTAATCTCGGCCATTCTTGGGTGTTAGTCTCCTATTTTGTTACTTTATGTTCCCCAGCTGAATGCAATCTTTCTATGTCTATTCCTTTCTTTCTGACTCATTTCGCTTAACATGATGCTTTCCATGTAGTACCACTTGTTTTCTCGAGAAAGTATTTTATTGGTCTTAGTTATTGTTTTGTTGTTTTTAAGAAGTTTTATTGGATCACCTACAATTTTATTGGAGATACATTTACAAACTTGCATTATTACATTTCAGTCACATAATGCTCGAGCACGCATCCCTCTACCAGTGCACATTTTCCACCACTATTGTTCCCAGTGTCCCACCTGCCATCCCCCATCCTCACTCCCACTCCCTGCCTCTGTGGCTGGTAGAATCTGTCTTATTCTCTCTCTAATTTGGGGCATTATGCTTTACAATACAGATAGTAAGAGGTCACCATGTTTGGTCCTTGGTCTACTTTCAGCCCACACCTCCCATTCATGGTGATCCCTCCAACTATTATTTGCTTAGTAGTTCCTTCTCCATCCCAACTTCCCTTTCCCCCAGCATGTGGGCCTGGCTTCCAAACTGTGGTGCCATCCTCCTGGCCTTATCTCTACTGTCCTTAGGTGTTAGTCTCATTATGCTACCTTATATTCCACAAATGAGTGCAGTCATTCTATGTCTGTTCCTCTCTTTCTGACTAATTTCACTTAGCATGATACCTCCATGTTCGGTCTTCATTATTATTGCAGGCAGTCTTCATTGTTTCTATATTCAGAACGATCTCAGTTTAGAATAAAAGCATATATAAATTAGAGGAGAGCTGCTGACATCACAGTATGGCAGATAACAAAATATTATCCTTTTCAGGTGTTATTGGGCCTCCTTTTAATAATTTTAACTTTTGATTACTGTCTTCCAAAAAGTGAAAGAAAAATAGACCATCTGTTTTACAGAGTCAAAAGGCAAATGCCTAGAATTAACAGATTCTTATTTGCCAAAGGCATGGTAATTCAGTACAAGAAAATTGTCTAACAAATGAGCACACTAATTTCTATTGCCTATTTGTTTTCAAATCATTCTTTTCTTTGTTTTAAAATATTAAAGAATTTTTAGTACTTCACCCATGTTTCTGAATATTGTAATTTGTCTTCATAACTATAAATAAAATACTTTATTCATTAGAGATAATATTTATACTATTTGAATAGTAAGTATACTATTTGACAATATTTTTTATTTACACTTAACCCAACTTTATCATTTTACAAGTAAAAAATTTGAACTTGAGAACCAAAAGCGAGATTAATAACAGAGGCAACTATATGAATTAGGCCTTTTCTTTTTCAATCCATATTCTAGACATCTTTTAGCATCATGCATATTTTCATTAGCTATGAAAACATATTAAGTAAAGGAGTTTAATATTTTTACTAGAGTTTTTTGAAGTAGAAAAGTAAATAAGCTTTAAGATTGTTTTCCTTTATACTCTCAGTGAAATAAGTATTGATTACAGATAGTCAATAGGAAAAAATTTTGTGTTTTTTTCCGTGAGAAATAAAAGTAGACATAAAGCCATAGAATAATTGTTGGAAGAATTTGGGCAAAGTTTAACTCCTCTTGTCTTCATCATATTCATTGCTAAAATATGAAAGTTTGATTAATATTTCAGATCCTGCAAGCTGTGCCATTTTAGGGTTCTATGAAAGAGAGTCAACTGCTAAAATAGTCCAGCCTTACTTTATTGCACCCTGATCAAAAATATGTGACGATTCTTTGTATATCATTATTTACTGATATTCTGATATTTCATGCTATTAACCCAGTAACCACGATATTAATCACGATCATGATCATCCTGTTGTTCGTCGATTGCCTCGAGCAGGCCCCAGTAACGTCTCCTTCATCCTCGCCCTGAGATTTTAAAAAGTGCCACATTCAAGGCTCTTTCAGGGTTAGGAGAATGAGACCCATCATTGTTACTGGTATTTGGCATATTGGGTACGCCATGGGGAGTTTGCCAGACTCTGCCGTGTAGGCAGGTAACATTCGGTAGCCTGCCAGGTTGTCCAAAGTAAGAATGAGATAATAAGATGTTCGGGAGCTGGGTTTTATAGTCTCTGGGTCTTGGTTGTTGACGGGATTACACCGCGCCAGGGGGCCAGTTTGTGGGTGTGACCCCTGCCTACTGGAATATGGAGGATCTGGGTGGAGGATGCTCAGCCCCGATCCAAGCAGGCTTGGACGATATCAATAAGAACAACAATAATGATGATAATAGCTAACATTATTTTCTTTTCTCTGTGACCCTGCAATGTTGGAAATGTCCGTGGGTTTTTTTTTGTGGGATACAGTT